GGGGGGGGAGAGGGTGGGCTTATCATGTTGAAAGGGTGAGTGTGTTGTGCTGGGCTTGTGGCAGAGAAATAAATAAAGGGGGATTCTCATACTTTTGTACACATATCTGACCTTAGTTCTGTCTAGATTCAGTTGAAATGTAGTGCTTGCGCATGTCTGCTCTTAGTGAAGAGCACCAAAAAGCATTCACATTTATGAATGTGGGTGGCTAACTGTCGACTGTCTTTCGTGTACTCTCCTCCAGGAAGCGCTCGGCTGGATAAGCATCCCTTTGCACGATGTTGTCACCAATAGGCGGCTCAATGAGTGGTATCAGCTTCAGGAGGCTAGAGGTGCTGGAAGAATCAATGTCGAGTTGAGATGGGAGCCTACAGGGGCCAGTCAGTAGTTGAGGGCAGCAACGAACACAGTTTGTCGGTGAATGTGGGGCTGTTTACCAACGCTATTTGGCCAGTCGTACTCTTCAACGAGTAACGTGGCAAGCAGGCACTGAGTCTGTTGCAAACTTCAGCAAAGGCGAAGAGAAGAGAATAACAGGGATTTGCAAGGGTCCAAGTGATGAGAAAGTGCGGGGGAAAATGGAAGGAGGAAACTGCAGGCAGTTAGTTCGTTGGACAGTTCAGCGAAGAAGAAGAAGAAGAAACCCCGATTAATCAATTTCTACGAGGAGAACTTTACCAATGATACGTAATGGTCCTTTGCCACAGTGGGCAGAGGGGCAAGATGGGGATTTGCAGCACTGGACTACCACAGTGGGCAGAGGGGCAAGATGGGGATTTGCAGCACTGGACTGAGGGGTAAGGTGGGGATTTGCGGCAGCGCAGTGCGCGGTAAGGTGGGGGAACTGTCTGTTAGGTTTCCGAAGGATAGGCTGGCGGGAATGGAGGGGTGTAAGGAGGTGGGTGGAGGGGAAAGAGGCATGCATTCAGAGGAGAGGGAGGAGAGAAGCAGTAAAGGAGGGTGTTGGAAAGAGTATGAGGAGGGATGAAGAAGATAAGGATAGGTAAATAGGTGTGAGGAGTGAGGGAGGCGAGGAGGAAGGGAACTGGTTGATGAGCAGTGAGGAGAGCCGAGGAGGGATGAAGAGGATGAGCAGAGTGAGGAGAAAGGCTGAGGAGGCTGGTTGCTGAGGGGCTAGGGGTGCGGAAGAGGAAAGGTTTGTGGGAATAGTGAGAAAGAGCAGGAGGGAAAGGGGAGGAGGAGGGTAAACAAGCGCTACCGTCTTCTCGTGAACACAATGCACCCTCATTTTGGCTGGAGGCCAGGAAAGATGGCTTGTATACATTCATTATCAGGGTGTGTTGTGTTCGGGGGAAGACGGTAAGATATGAAAGGGGGCTATAAAGGACTTCTTCTGTGAAGGCTCAAGGGTGGGGGGCTGCGGACGAAAGATAAGGATGACAATTAAGGTACTAGTATGCAGGATGTAAAGGATTTTTGAGGGGACTAAAGAGGGTCGTGATGTGGAATACGATCGTAGGGGCAGCTCCAACGGACAGAGGCCGAAAGTGCAAGGACCCATCGTGGCACTGTGTATCTCGGCATTTTTCTAAGAGAAGGGGATTAAACCACCAGTACGTCCGAGCCTCTTTGTCGTGACAAGGATTGCTGCTGCGTACCAAACAAAAGCGGAATTGGTGCAGGCGGCGAGGCGTGTTCCTTTTCTTTTTTGCTGTTGCCGCAAGCCACTTTGGTCTCGTAGGCCATGGCCCTGTCAATGCGGCAGGTAGACGACCACGTCAGAACAAACTAGCCAGGGTGGTGGGTAAAGGGTACCGAGCGAAGGCCAAGGCCAACATCGGAAGGCAGAAAGAGAGGAAAGGAACAGTAAGCAGGGAGGGAAGAAAAGGACAGGAGTGATGGATGGAGCACAAGTGCCAATTTAGTTGAAAATTTGAAACACCTCTCCTTAGGATTTTCACTTCAGCATTGGAATTTGCAATGCTGATGGTTCTTGATACGATCATCTATTACGTTGAGCTAGATAGATAGTGGGGGAAAGGCACTCCTGCTGTCCCATTCTTCCCTTTGTATATGTGTGGATGAGAGAGAGAGAGAGATGGGAGAGCAGACGGAGAAGCAAATGGATGGATACTGCGAGGAGGCCAGATGGGTAAGAGGGGGCCTCAGCGACAAATAAATGGAGGCATGGAGAACCGTCTGGTTTGATGGGAGGGGAAGGGACAGCTGGATGAACGTAGCAATGACTGGGAAAGCAAACATAACATGTTGGTGAATGAACTGATTGATTGACAATCTATCACTGGATCAGCGGAGGGAGGAGCCTAATAGCCACCCGTGCACACCAGCGAACGGAGAGACCGAAGGTGGGCCTGCCTTATCAATCGGTAAATTGATCGGAGCAGGGTTGGGGCAGCAGAAAAAAAAAAAAAAAAAAAAAAGGGTTCGAGCAGCAGGTGGGGGGTAGATGAAAGGATGGGCAGATGAAGGAAGCCAACTGAGTGGTGAAAGATGTGTGCTATGGGAGAAGGTGTTGTAGTCTTTCCTCGGTGGCGGAAGTGTCGTTGGGCTTTCTTTTGGAACTGGGAAAAGAGTATGTGTTTTTGCACAGTCTCTGCACAGAGAAAGATGGTTGCTTGATGAGTTGAAAACCCGGCGGTCCACTGACGTATGTGTCTATTGGTGGGTAGATGACTTGATGCATGGATTGGCAGATGAACCGATGGATGAGAAGGACCACGGGAGCGACGGAATGCTGGAAGACGTGCCGCCAAGGGATGCTGAAACTAGATTGCAGCTCAAAGGTGTTGTATAATGTACACTTTGTCTCAGTAGTGGCAGTGTTGATGGGCTTTCAATTTGCAGAGCTGGAAAAAGAGTATGTGTTTTGCAGGGTCGTAGCACAGAGAAAGGTCGTCGCACAGAGAAAGACGGTTGCCTGATGAGTTGAAAACCCGGTGCACTACCAACGCGCTTAGCGCAGTTGGTACACCCATAATAATAATAATAAAAATGTTGAAAAGCAGACCGGAGTTCGAATCCAAATGGAACCAGAGGAAAATTCCTGAATTACCTAGGGCCAATCAGTTAGAGAGAAAAGAGGAGAGAAAAAAAAGAAAGAAAACCCAGTCCACGTGTAGGCAAAGGACCCTGCTGATATCGATGCGCTCGTGGCAAATCAGCCAAGTAATGCGAAGACGGCCCGATGGATGTGTCTGCGCACAGTGTGAGCAGCGAGAGGACAGAACAGACGGCAGTGCCTTGGCAGGTGTACCCTCATCTCTGCACGAATCTGGCGCAAAAATGGCCCGTTGCGCTCTCGTGGAATTGGTGAAGAAATGTGGCGGGTGGGTAGGCATGCGGCCTGAGCGTGCCCAGGTCGTCCACAAATCCAACTTGCCGCATCGTGTGGCGGAAACTGCCTGCTTATCATCAGACTCTTTATGACAAGGAGGAGGAATATCTGTGCAGGGGTGGTGGAATTCGATTGAGACATCGATGAAGAATGAGGGGGTAGGCATGCGGCCTGAACGCGGCCAGGTGGTCCACGCGTGCAACTTGCTGCATCGTGTGGCAGAAAGTTGCCTTTCTTTCATACATACTTTTTATGACAGGGAGGAGGGAGGAGGATTATATGTGCAGCGACAGAAAGGGATTGAGCGGTAGGGATCGTGTGTTCCATTTGCCGCCATGGCAGCAGTGACGAAGGTGTTGTTTTGTTTCTGCATTCTATTCCATCTATATTCTACATATCAATGTAAGGGGATTGCGGAACCATGGCGGCGCCAACGATGGTTATATGTTGGGGTCCTCCATTGCCGAACCATGAATGACCTGCCCTTCTCCCAAGCTGCTTTTACCGACGAACCTAGGCTTCCAACCAATAGTTTACTTCATAGCCTCATGGCTGGTTTTGCATTCTGTTCTATATATAATATATATATATATATATATTATATATGTATATTTAGGGAATTTCCGAACCATGGCGGCGGCGACAAATGTTATATGTCGGGGTCCTCCATTGCCGAACCCTGGCCGTTTATACCGACGAACCTGCACTTCTCCCAAGCCGCTTTTCCCGACGAACGTGGGGTTGCAGCCGATAGTTTACTTTGTAACCTCATGGCCAGCCATTTCCTGATTGTCTCCTGGTATGGTCACAATCTTCGGGGTTTGTTGGAAGCAGTTGCATATGGTCATTGTGGTGGTCCTGGTGCACATTTTGTTTGTTCATCCTTGGGTTCACTTTGAGGATCTTTGAGGAAACTGGTCTTCGCTTCTACATGTTTCCGAGAAAAAAATGTTTCCCCACAGTCGCAGTTTGCAGCCGTTCATCTCGAAAGCACTCTTCAACTTACCTTTTACTCTCGTATTGATGGAGAAAGGTCCCCGATCGCATCGTTAGAGCTCCCTGATCACCCAGGTCTAAATTATGTGTAGGATGCTGAATTCTTCGGGAGAGTGGCACTCCCGAAGTGGTTAGACCACCAGTACCTTTCCCCGCTTGAAAATAAAAGTCGCGCCGTTATACGCGGAAGCCGACTGGGGAAAGGGTCGCCATTGATAAATTTCATCGGCGGCGAGTTTTTCGTTCCTGGCCCTACAAAACTGCCCACTGCCGATATACGGGAAAGGTACTGGTGGTTTAAAATTTAAATGCGGCGGGTTCCCGACTGCGCGCTTCAGGTTCCCCGATTGCACGCTTCAGGTTCAAGGCTGCACATTTCAGGTTCGCTTCCCCCCCACACTTTAGGTTCCCGATACCGCACTTTCTTTTTTTTTTTTCCTCACTTTTTTTTTTTTTTTTTTTTTTTTTTTTCCGGATCGCTCGTCTTTTCAGAAACCACCAGTGTCACCGACACCAAGGCCCAAGGCCATCTTCGACCTGATGGAAAATCCCGTACCGTGTAAGAGTCAAACAGGCAGCAGGCAGGATAGAGGCAAAATGCGGAAAGTGTACGGCGGAGATGCGCATGTCTTGTCGGAAACCACCAGTCTCGATGACGCCAAGGCCATTTTCACCTGATGGAAAATCTCCTTCTGTGTACGAGTCAAGCAGGCAGCATGCAGGTTGGTACAGTGGAAGTGCGGCCTCTGCGTCTAGGGCCGGGAATGCGGAAAGCTTACGGAGAGGCTGATGGTGGTTCAAGGTTCGCAATTGCACTGGTGGTGAAAGTTTTCAGATCACACACTTAAGGCTCCAAAATCAGGGGAACTACATGCTCAAAGTCTCCGGATCAGGGGACACTGCAACTACACCAGTTATCGTTTTGTGTTTCTGAAGTAGGGTTGTTTTCAGACAAAGCATCAGTTGAACATCTTTGTCTACAATAACATCTGTGCACCGACCCGTCCCTTGTATGCTCTCCCTCCCTACAGGTTCCCTCTCCCTATTGTTTGCAGCTGTACATTATTTGCTATTAGGCTTTTAGGTAGTTGAAAAGACAATGAAGAAAAGGAGAGAAGAAAAAAGGAGTGATTGACACTCACGTCACTCTCAAGCACCTAACCTAATTTATTGTTGAAAGAGCAGAGGAATATAGGAGTGATGAACCATCATGTTCTTTTTTTTTTTTTTTTTTTTTTTTTTTTTTTTTTTTTTTAACTTCCGGCACCGTGGGGACCTGTTTGACGGGGTGATAAGAAGCATCATCTTATCTTATCATATCTCGTTGTGTCTCTACTATCTATAGAATCTTTATCAGCCACGGCCTGCATCAGAGCCCATTGTGGCTTTTTTGTTTTTCGTCGGACTGTGGATCTGGCGGCTTTGATTCGTCCTCAATGGTTTTCTTTCTTTTTTCTTTTTTTTTAATAAAATTTGAACTATTTCTCTAGGCTACCAGCCGGGCCGCCCGGGTCACCTTATTTTCCTGGGCGGCCCGGCCGTGCAAGGACCCCGGAAGATCCCAGGCAAAAAAAAAAAAAACGAAGAAGAAGTTTAAAAACTATGTTATGCAGAAAAATAAACTGAACAACTTTTGCCCCAGGGTCACATCGCAATTATTTACCAAGTTTAAAATAAAAACTAAAATTACAAATTGTTTTGTATTTTAAAATTTTATTTTATTTTTGGCCCGACCGGGCAAGTGGTCCCGGGTCCAGTCTGGTAGCCTAGTAGTATTTCTCGATTTTATGTGTGCCATCCTTGCGCAGGGTCCGTGCTAATCTTCTCTTTATCGCTTCGATTTTAATGGATGCCCCGAGGGAACTAAATGCTTTCTTTTGCTGACACCTGGTGGTGTGTTTGGCGGGCAAGTGGATGGTCTTCCTGGTCGAGAACTGTGTCAGTGAGCGGAGAGAGCTTCTGCGAATGTCGGAAGCGCTAGCGACCGTCAGAGTGATTGTCAGGGATCGTGAGTGATTGTCAGGTATTGTTAGGACTAGGGAGGGGAGGGTTTGTCGAAATGGATGTTGTGAGTAAATGAACGTGGCCACGTGGTCGGCTTTTTTTTTTTTTTTTTTTTTTTTTTTTTTGGTTCTGTGAGAAGAAAAAGTGTAGAAACGGTCAAATTTCAGCGGGGATGCCTAACGACATTGATGATTGATTACATTTTTTTCTTTTTTTTTTTCCAGCGGGGATGCTTGGGTGTGGTCGCCCGGGCTTTCGAGTCCCGATGTTGGATCTTCCAATTGTGTTTATTCCATCCGGCATTGTGTCTGTTTATTTTCTGTGGCTTGATGCACATGGTTTGTTATTAATTTGGATGTAATCATCGATGGTGATCTTGTCGGAAAA